TTAGGCTAGGGAAGAAAGTTTCTTGCTCAATTTACTTACCTTTCTGAGGAGAACCCTTGATAGGAGCTTTCTCTCTTTTCTGTGGAAGCCTAGCCAGAGCCCAGGAGAGTGGGCTCAACATCCTCCCAACAGCCAGATAGTGTAAGGTTTCTTGAAAGGGTTGGGGAGAGGGAGTTAGAGAAAGTCTGGGCTCTTCCCTTTCTCAGGCAAGCATGTGAGTCTGTGAATCACTTTTCCATCTAGAACACCCACCTGACTACAATATGTTCCCTTGATAAGAATAAAAATGATCAGTATAGCTCGTAAAGCACTTCCTACGTATATCCTAAATGAGATAGTGATATTTCAAACACTGTGCTGATGGGCTCACATATGGTATCTCATTTAATCTTCATGATGACCCTGTGAAGTAGGTACTATTAATAATATCACTATTTCATATGCGAGTAAGGTAAGGCTAGAGGAGAGATCACTTGTCCAAGGTTATAGTGAGCAAGCGGCAGAACTGGAGTTGAGTCCAGGCAGACTATGTCTAAAGTTGGTCTTTAGTCAGTCAGCCCTGACTATGGTATAGAGTGGCCATTCCTGTGTACACAAGGTGATCTTAGGACGGGCATGGAGTCTGCATTACACAACTTAGAAGCCCAAGCCACTGGGCTTTCCAATGAGAAAGTCATTGCCTTTCCAGATCTCATCCAGTACTTCTAATGAACTTCAATGAGAAAGTCTCAACTTGGTATGAGTCTTGACCACCTTCTTAACACCTATTAGGTGTTTCCTGCCCATACTGTAAGATGTGGAGTGACGTTCCTAAACAATGCTTGTATTGTAATCTGGCAGCCCCAGTTTTACCCTTTGTATCTGATATGCTCTCCATTCAGAATTTCTGTGAGCAGACTGGTAATGTGGCCTTAGTGTGGCCTGCCTCCTCAGGTCTTGCTTGACTGTCTTTGACAGTGGTTGAGAGCATCAGCTTTGGAGGTGGATTGCTTGGGTTCCATTTCCAGCTACGGGACTTTAGGCAACTTCTCTCTTTGAAATTGTTTCCTCACCTGTAAAGTAGGTGTAATGATAGTACCTGCTTTAGGGGTAAATTTACTGCTAATGGAGTAAATGTAATAGGATTTAAATTTAATTGGATTAAATGAGGGAGTTCATGTAAAAATATTTAGCATCATGCTCATCTGAGTAAAATATCAAATTAATAGATGATGATAATCATGAGGGAGAACTGAGGACAAAGGCATCACATGGGGGAGTAAAGTGCTAAAAGAGCTGCAGAGAAATGGTATGGTAGAGTCATACTGAAGTTTGCCCCATCTCTGATTATTATGCAATTTGTATAAGCTGATTTGAGTTGAGGCTTTATTACTAATAGCCCAGTGCATCTTGATAAAGCCATGAATATTCAGGGCTTCTGTTTAGAAGCTTTGTGGTTACAAAACGAGTAGGTCCCAGCTCCTGCCTTGAGAACCTTGTCTAGCAGAGAAAATGCTGTACTCCAAAAGCCCATAAAAAAGAATTATAAAAAAAAAGGGAAGAAATTTGTCCGTGCCATTAAAAGATGTAATTTGATTTAAGAGCCCAAAGAAGGAAGATATGAAGGAAGACTTTATATAGAGAAGGCGGCATTAGAGATAGTCTCTGAGGATGGACAACTATTTAGGATGGTAGGTGGGAGCAAGGGTCAATGGTGGGGAGTTGAAGTTCTCAATGGAGGGAATGGCCAAGAGAAACTAGACGACTGGAGATTTATTTCATAAAGCATAGATGCAAAGGTAGGGCAAAAGTAGTGGTCCAAGTATTGCACTTACATCTAAAGAGTAGAAAGAGAAATTAACCCTTGGAGATCACCTCTTTTTATTTTCCTGAATTAAGAGATGTATGGTGCTTAATATATATGGAGGCATATGTTGAGACAAACCGTATTTTGCTTCTGTGATTTTTCCTATGTGTTCCTAGCCCTGTGAACTCCTCTGGGACTGCCATGGTACAGCAGAAGGATGACTTTAAGAGCTCCTCTGTCAATATGTTGAAGGTCAAAAGGGAAAAGTGCTTATGAATCCAGCAGAAGCTCTGGGTCTGTTGAGTTGAGAATGGCTTAATTTTCCTTGGCTTAATTCTTTGACATCCCTTTTCTATTATGTGTGTGCGTTTGTGCATGCGTGTGTCTGAGAGAGAGAAGGGGATTGTTGGATGTATAAGTATTGTTATATGCCAATGAGATACCATATTACAATTTGGGGAACAGTTTTGTTGTTGTTGTTGTTGTCGTCCTGTTGTTCTTAGGGGTGGCTAGGAGAGTTTTCATGACCAAGGTATTGACCTCTTTAGCTGAATCCAAGCCAGTTCATGTTGTTTTGCAGATGGCTGCTCTGGAAAATTCTGGGCCATAGCCAGAGCTTTCTCATGCTTTAAAAAAAAAGTAAGAATCACTTTATATTTTTCTGGTAGGCTGAATTGAAATATTTTCTGTGGTATGAGATGGAAATTGTAAATTTTTCTATCACTATAGGGAGTAATAGAGAAAAAAAGATGAGGATGACTTCCCAGTGAATGCTGTTGTCTGAGCCCTAAGGAAAGGCAAACTCTCAAGTTGCCCAAAAAGGTCACATGGCTTCCAAGTCTACACTGCTTCACACATTAATCCAACCAGTTAGAAACTTGAGGACTTACAGGAGGTGTTTGAATGATTGATTTTTGTAAACTTTGGCCTGTTTTGGTAATCATTGTCTACTGAATCCATCTGCTACATAATCTCTGGCCAACTAAAACTCTTAAAATGACACTTTAACAGTTTGTGCCAAAGGAGTGGTCTCTCAAATAAAGTTCTCTAACACAAATCTCTCCACTGACTTTAGATGTATTTACTCATTTTCCACTGGAGACGACACTGGTGTCCCTCAAGAGGGTAAAGCAAGATGATGACTGAATGGCTGAAATGGGTCAAGTCAACAAATATGGGACTTTTACAACATGCTGGGCTAGGTGCTGAGGGTATAGTAAGAGACAAAAATTCCTTCCTGTATGGAACTTCTATTCCCGTGGAAGAAAAGGAGTCAAAAGTTTTGGGCTTGAGCCACTGGGGAAGACTGAGCACAAAACAGGTTTAGGATGTGGGGGATTAGGAGTTTGGGTCTTTGATGATGTTTTGTTGCAAAGGCTCATTTATCCAAATGGTGATGCTAAGTAGGGATCTGGTTGAATTGGCTGTCTTGTGGCCTTTGCTAGAACATCATGGAGGTGGTGAGAGTGCATATTGGGTTGCGGTGGGGTAGAAGTGGTAATGTTGATGATTATGTTCTTCCTGCAAGGAACTTGGCTTTGAAAAGTGGTAACTGGAGGAGATACAAAGTTTGGGGAAGCTCCTCGCACCAGTATGTGACACACTTGACCATATTCTTACTATGCAGGGAATGGGCCTGTAGAGGGAGGGTTATTGGTGAAACAAAGTCTGAAAGGGGAGGGTGAAGATGAGATCAGCTCGGGGCAGGTGGTGAGGTTTCCTCAAACCCAGAGAGGAGGTATTCAGGAAAGGTCCAGATAATGAGACAGTAGGTGTGGAATCAAAGAAGATTAAACCTAAGGAAGCTGCTTGGTGTAATGAAAAGATAAAGCTCTAGACTAGGGATTAATTTAGATATCACTTTGATGCCAAACAGGATGTGATGTTGGCCAAATCGCCTCCTCTCCTTGAGCCCCAGTTTTCCCTGTTGCATCACTGTGCTGAATAAAATGGTCTCAAAGGCTCATGTTGGTTAAAAGATGCCACAGGTATAAGCTAAATTTTCAGGAAAATTAAGAGTGCCTTGATGGCAAAAGAGTCATGTGTGCAACATGATGGGGGCCATGTGGCTAGGATGAGGCCGGTGTGGTTGAAACAGGTAAAGATAGATGTGTTGGTGGTCAGTTTGATGTGTTGGTGGTTTTATTCAGGTGCTGCTGATGGGGTAATTTGCTTGCGGTGGGATGACACAGCAAGCCCAATTCTCTGCTTGGTGGAGACAGGAGCCACCAGCTTTTCCCAGGAGACATTTTACAAGTAAAGGCTAATTTTACTTTTGCTGTTGATGGCATTTCTCAGCTATACTAATTACCATCCTGATAGAAACACTGCAGAAATATATCCTGTGCTCCCAAGAGTGCAGAGGAGTAAAGAGGTTGTTCTTAAATAATCCAAGAAGAGGTTTTACCTGTGGATTAAAGCTACAATGCTTCCTTAGTTATGGTTTTCTTAGTGGAAGATGCTCTGGTGTAAACAGAATTTTTGTGTGTGCCTTATTTTTAAGTTTCAGATCCAAATTCAATTGCAAATAAAGTTATTGTAGGAAGGAAAATGATAGTTATGGATTAAATATGTGCCTCAGTTTTGTTTGTGTGTGCCTGTTTTTTAAAAAGGTATGTTGTAAATTTGAGAATTATGTTTTGCTTTCTTTAGTTCTTTAATAAATATCTGGCAGTCCATCCATCCACCCATCCTTCCATCCACCCATCCTTCCATTTATTAAAATAATATCCCTGAATAATAGCTGCCCTGAAGATCTGGTAGCTTTAAATCCGGTGAGCCAGACCTAAACAGGTATTGCTTGCCTTAGCTGGGATGTTGTCTCTTGAGGTTCCTTTAGTACACTTCTTGGTTGACAGATATACATTCTTAGTTTGAAGGCAAAATGGACAATATCTTCAAATTCAAGGTGTTAATAAGATATGAGCATCTTTGAGCCTCAGAGTCTTGGATGAAAATCCTGACCCTATCTATGAGAGAGCTCTCTTGAGCTCTAGGAGTTTAAGAGCCACACACTCATACTTGGAAATGGAAAAGGACTTCCTTTTGATATAAAGGGAAGGAGAAATGGGTAAGGCATATCAGGCATTGGTTAATTTTTAAAAATCAAAACAACTGACATGATTATGGGTGATAGTGGAGGTCAGGTGCCTGGCCTGGAGTAAAAGGGATCGTGTTTCCCAAATGAATGAAACAAAAAAGGAAGAGAGAAGTATTACAAATTCACCATAGATTAAGGTCTGACCCTTTATGCTAAGAACGCAGATGCTGAGGCTCTTTTAGGGAATTTGCTTTGCAGGAGAGGAGCTGCTTTTGTTTGCTTTTCTGATGACTTGGATTTCTACAGCTGCTTATGGTTCTTGAACTTCCTGGAGAAAGTACAGGCAGATAGAATTGTGATGAAATCAGCATCCCAGCCCTATGTTTCCTAAGGACACTGTTGATTCCAATAGTACTTAGCTTGATTCTAGCAGATGGCTTAGATTTTATATTGGGATAATATCACAAGGGGTATAGTGTGTATTCATGTGTGCTTGTGTGTGTGTGTTTAGATGTGATGCTATAATTAGGGCAGGTAACATTATAAAAAATTGATGATTATTTGGTTTGGGGCAGAAATGGCTTTAATTTCCCCAAGTATTTCATTTTCTTGGTATTCTCCAAGTGTGCATTATCATTCAGACGACTAATAGGAAGTTCAATACATTGGAGGACACTTTATAATGAGCATTATTCTTTAAAAAAGAATAATTTGGACACATTTTCCATTAGAAGCTAATATGAGGTTGTTAGGAGTTTGGATAGGGTTTTGGTGTCTGAATGCTACTGCTCTTTCTGCCCCTCTCCAGGGTCTGACCAAAAGGGATATACACCTAAAGATCAACAGTCATAAGGGAAACAGTATGGCAATATTAATCCCTGAGGATGGGCACAGTATCCCTTCATGAAGGGATTTTCTGACTAGGTGAGACAACTTGTTATTCCATTGCCATCAGACTCACAGATGGTCTTGCCTTCTGCATGTTGACTCCATGTAACCACCATGCTCAGGGGGAGATCAAGGTTAGCAACAGGAGGAGGTTCTGCTGTGCTTACCACATGGATACCTAAAAAAAAAGAGTAAAGTTAGCTTCGGTGGATGGCAGAACTGCCTAAGAAACCAGTGTGTTCAGGAGTGGTCACCATGGGAGAGCAGGAAGCAGATGGAGGTGTGGGGCTACTTGCTCTGTTGGGGCTGTGCAGTGGGGAAACGGGGTGTGGGGCATGGCTGTGTTCCTTTTGTTAGCACACACATTTCAGTCAATGTCCTGGCCAATCATATTGGTATTCCTTTTTGGGAATGGGGCCTGTGAAGACTGTCAAAGAGGTGTAAGTCAAGGATGATGGACATTACCTTTTAGGTTCAACACTCTCATAAGAAATCGGGAAGTAAGGTTTGTCACAAATTTCCACACATAAAGATAAGCCAGGCTATTGTGTCTATCAGGTTTTTTTCTAGGCATTGCCATATTTCTGATTTTATAATTTGCCCTTTATCAACAGCCTAATAGATACTGGAATAAAATAATTATGACAACTAACATTTATTGAGAGCTACTGCATACTAGTCATATATATTGATTCACTTGTTTCCTAAAATAACACTGTGAGGTAGTTGTCATTTTGGTTCCCATTTTGCAGATGAGAAAACAGGGTTACACAGCTATCAAATGGCAGGACAATATAGGTGGTCAGGTTCTAAAGTGCATGTTTAATTCCGTCTCTCCTAGAGGTGGGTTAAGAAGAGGGGGCCGGCCCAGGAAATGGGAGACCAGCACATAGGCTAGAGCCTGGCTTAGCCCTGCCATAAACCTGTTGTGTGATTGACAACATGCTAAAGAATTCCTCATTCTGAATCTCAGTTTCCTCATCTGTAAAGTGAGGATGTGATTTCTGTTCAGGGTTTTTGGGCCCATGACTCAATGTAGTAGCTTCCTGGGGCTTTCATAATAAATTACCATTAACTTGGTGGCTCAATTTCACAGCAGAAATTTATTATCTACAGCTGTAGAAGCCAGAAGACTGAAATCTAAGTGTCTTCAGAGTTGGTTCCTTCTAGAGGCTCTGAGGGAGAATACATTACAACACCCTTCTCTTAGCTTTTGTTGGCTGTCAGTAACTGTTGGCATTCCTTGGCTTGTAGACACATCACTTCAATCTCTTCGTCTGTCTTCGCATCACCTTTTCCCCTGTGTTTCCGTGTCTCAAATCTCCCTCTCTGTTCCTCTTAATAGGACACTTGTTTTTGGATTTAGAGCATCCTCTAAATCCAGGAAGGCCTTGTCTAAAGATCTATAACTTTAATTACATTTGCAAAGACTCTTATTCCAAATAAGTTCACATTCATAGATTCAGGGGACAAGAAATTAGACATATATTTTTTGAGGCCACTATTCAACCCACTACACTCACAGTCCAGCCCTTTTTTTCTGCTGCAATATGACAATGACAACAGATATGGGAAGAGAAAGAATTAAAGCTAGGTAGTGGCTAAAATCTCCTGGGAAGATTGGTGCAGTGTGTTAAGAACATAGTATGTGGAGTCCAGACCCCTGGTTTCAAGCAATGGCTCTGCTACTGCCAGTCCTGTGACCTTGAATAAATCACTGAATGCCCCCCGCCCCCATCCTGGGCCTCAGTGTTCTACCCAGTAAAATGGAGCTAGTAATAGTAACATTACAGGATTATTAAGTGGATGACCGTAAAGTGCTTTGAACAATGTTATTATAACATTAGCTGCTATTATTGTTGCTGTTGCTGTTGTTACTTCCATTTAGAAGTTAAGTTTATGCCTATGATTTTGATAGAGAAACAAATTTTATAGGGATGCATTTAAACTATGGCAAGGAACAACCCACAAGTATGCTATTTTTCCACCATATTTTAAATTAGGATGTCCAAATGTGTCTGAAATGTGAGGATTATACTTTCCAGCATGCTGAAACAATTTTTGGCTCAATCTTTTTAGACATCAAATAAGCTGAAAACGGAGTGAGGCTGGGGCTCACGCTGGAAGAGGCGGGCAAACAGATGGAAGGTGGCTGAGGGAGCATTTTGATGTACTCGTGGAGGAGGCGTTAATATTTTAACATCTTTCTTGTTATTTACAGATAATTTTTATGAGAGATTTTCAGAGATGCTCAGTTTTTTCCCTTTTCTCTGAGTGGCACAGAGTTGTCATAGATCAATCTGTTAATACGAAGCTAAAGAATTTAGCAGTCTCCTTGTGGGGACTGACTGCAGTTTGAATTTTGTATCTAAAAGGAAGTTTAGTTTTCAGAATCCTGATTTTTTTTATGTGCTAATTCATTGCCTTGCAAAATTCATCCAATAGCCTAGAGTCAGCAGGAGTGATTATTGGCCCAAGTTTTATTTTAGAAATAGATGAGCTAATTGCTTTGTATTAATATTGTATTCCTATTTTATCTTAGGCAAGGAGGAGACAGAGGTGAATAGGAGAGCCATAAACTCTTCAAAGGTAGATTCATAGTGGACAGACCTTCAAATAAACCATCACAACACAGTATATGATAGATGCTCTACTTGAGATGCTTGAAGTGGTTAAGACAAGGTTTTGGGAGGCAGATATACCTGCATTTAAAATTTGCCTCTAAAATCAAAATCAGCTAGTTAGTCTCGCTTTGGGTTTCCATTTTCATGGCTTTAACTAGGGTTATTTTTACCATTTTCCCAATAGTGAGGTTTAAATGAGATAATATATACAGAGTGCTTGGCATGACGTGTGGCACATAGTAAATGCCCAGTAAGTCTTAGTCATTATTACTGTCGAATAAAGTGTTATGGGAAGAGCTGTCTATGGAGTAATTTTGTTAACTGATTCATATGGCTTGATATTTATGTATCACATTACATGGTACATTTAAAGCATGCATGCTTTATTACCCATCTTTATATCTTTCATCAAAGTTCATTTACCAAATTTATATTCTGTATCACATGGACATAAATTAAAGCCAGTTTGCTCTCTCTATATCCTGAAATTTGACATTTTGGATACAGGTTTGCATATAATTTTTTAAAAAGCCATTACAGACACTGATAGATACTTAGACACTTGAAAGGGATATCTGTTCCACCTATAAGGAACAGAGCCTCACTCTGACCAACTCAAGTATCAAGGCTCTATTTTAAGAAAACAAGAATCAGTTAATAATAGTGGTTAATAATAGAGACCTTTGGAGTCCCAGGTCTACCCCGTGCAGCTTTATGACTCTCGGTGAATAACTCACCTTCTTGGAGATGCTTTTTTAGGTATAAACGCAGGGATAGTGATTCTTGCTTCAATACATACTAGCGAAGACTACATGACACAACATGAAAAGCCCCTAAGGCAGAGCACAAAGTGTTCGATATGTAATATTATTACCCAAATGGTATTAAGACGGCTAGAATCTTCCAGAAATCTGATGATAAGAACCAAGGTATAGCTGGGGCTTGGAGTTAGGAATACATGGGTCACACTAGGGGCAGAGGAGTAGAGTTTTAAATCTTAACTCGAGTTCTGTTATTAACATATCTTCTCCACAATTACTTTTCCCTCCCTGCCCACTTTTCTCACCTGTAACTGGTTTGTTATTTTCATTCTCCGGGTTAGGCTGATGGGCGCCTCTCTCGATACCAGCTGGCTGAGTGGAAGGCTAGCACGAGGCGGGCGGGCCCCGGATTGCGTGTGCCGGGGTCACGTGCTAACCTCTGGGCCAATGAGCGAAAGCGGGTGGGTTCTGGAGGCAAAGCCTGCAGGCTACCGGCGCCTTTTCTCCGCTGAAGGGAACGAGAACGCTGAGAAGGGTAGGTGAACCCGCGGGTCAAGGTTTTGGTGACTGGATTGGTGGTCACATGGGTGGCAAAACTCGTGAATCTGGAGGTAAAATGTGACCCTGGCCGGGTGGCCCGCTCTATCGTGTTCCTGGTTCCTTCCTTCCCTCAGCGAAGGGCGCCCAGACGACGACGGCTCTCGCTTCTCGGGCGTGGCCGCAGGGCGGTGCTTCCAGGCCTTTGCTCGCGCGGCCTCTGGCTGCAGTGCTTCTCCCGCCTTGCCCGCTCCTCTCGAGGGAGGGAAGAGCTGGCTTCCTTCTCCTCTAGGTTCCAGCCTTACCGGCACACTCCGCAGGGAGGCCCGCCTTCCTGACGGGGCCTGAAGGAGCCCGCAGATCCTGCCTCACCGCCGCGTTCGGCTCCCTCGTGCATTTAACCAATTTCCTTGTTTGCTTATTCCCGTTATCTGTCTGGTAATAGATCAGTCGAGTCTGTTACTCACAATTTCCAAAATGCCTCCAACGGAGCAGGGACTGGGTAATACATTTGTTTTCACCGGATGAGCATGAACTAATGTGTCTACCGTGCAAATACAATTACTGAACTGTGGCTGCCCTGGCTTTGTGACCATTATGAAACGTGCGGGGGTGGGGGGTGGGGCAGAAGAAAAGAAAAAGAAAGAAGGGAAGAGAAGGAAAAGAAAGGAAAAAGGAAGGAATAAAAGAAAAGAATGAAAGAAAGCAGAAGGAAAGAAGGAAAAATGGGTCTCCAGGGACTACTTCTGTAGTCCCTCATTGTTCCTGTTTCCCTTTCTTAACCTAAAGTACTTGGGTTCAAGTCCTTTTTCCTCCATTAGCGGCCTCCAGCTGTGACGGCTTTGGCATGCAACTTAGTCTCTCTGTGCTTCACTTTTTCATCCATAAAATTGCACCTATCTCATAGGATTATGTGAAGATGAAATTAATTGAACCTTGTAAAATATTTAAAGCAGAAGCTGGCACAGAGTTAGATAGCTCTACCCTCATTAGCATTTGTTAGTAGGAAGTGAGTGTAACTGTTGAAGTCACAGTGGTGAGTGGAGGACTGGGATCTGTGGCCCACCAAGGCTAGCGGGGTGAGTGGGAATTATTTCTTTATGTGCACAAAAATACATCATTATAAAATATATGATGCTCTGAAGAGTGTTCAGGGCGCTATGAACATTATGAATGCAGGGACCTCATTTGAATTCACACTAGGCGCTGGTCAGGAAGTTTTCCTTATGGAGGTGACATTGGAGTTGCAATGTGAAGACAGAGAGTAGGGTTTAATGTGGCCAAGAATGAGGGGTAGCTGGTAGTGGAGGAATTGTGTATGCAGAGACTCCAAAGTGAAGGACATCCTGAAGGGAGAGCAGGGAGTTTGGAAGATGAATAGTGATGAATGATATCTCATGTGGGTATATTCTCATTTTGTAGAGAGAGAAACTGAGGTTCATTTGGGAATCAGAATTGGGCTGTATATTCCAATGTGCAACTGGGGTGGGAACTAATGCTCTCAGCTTGTTAGAATGCAGACCCTCAACCCCCTACCCAGACCGAGTGAATCAGAACCTGCATTTTAACAAGATCCCCAGGTGATGTGTGTGCACAAAGAAGGGAGAAGCTCTGTTTTGCACATAGACTCACCCAACATTGGTCAAAAGAATCAGTCAATTTCTGTGTCCTCTCCTCAGATATGTTCATTTGGAAGGTCCAGTATAGGACCCAGAAATCAGCATTCTTAAGAATGTAGTTCAGAAGCAATTGATCCAAGACCAGATTTAAGAACATGCTCTGGAGAATGTCTGGATGAGAGTTAGCATGTGAGAAGGATCTGGACTTGAACTTAAACCTGAAAATGCTTCTGGCCTGATGATGTCTGGGGCCTCCCTCACATGAATCCATCTGCAGATTTCAAATACTTTTTGATCATCTAAGCGTTAAATAAAACTTGGGAAAAGGGCAGTGTTCACACTAGGGATACTATTAAATTTGGGGGTTGATGAAAGTTGTTGAGGGTAGCAAGATTAGTGGTATGGGTTCCTCTGGAATAGTTTTTATCGGCTCCTGAGACCAATTGTTTTATGTGGCTCAGAATAATAAAAAGACACTTATCCTGTCTGTCTTAATTTTCCAGATGGCCTCCAGGAAAATTTCCAAGCAGAAATCACATTTATTTAGTTCAAGAACCTACTGGGAAGATGATATAGTCATAGCAAAAGCCAAATTCTCATTGACTTTGAATTTAATGTTTTTCTGAATTATTTCTCTCTAGGTTTTAAAAAAATTTTTTTTTAATGTTTTATTTATTTTTAGGAGAGAGAGAGAGACAGCGTGAGCAGGGGAGGGACAGAGAGAGAGGGAGTCACAGGCTGAAACAGGCTCCAGGCTCTGAGCTGGCAGTCAGCACAGAGCCCGACGCGGGGCTTGAACCCACGAACTGCTAGATCATGACCTAAGCGAAAGTCCGACGCTTAACCGACTAAGCCACCCAGGCGCCCCTCTCTCTAGGTTTTTTAAAACTTTGTTTACTTTTTTCTTTTCATGACTCCTCTGAATCTCGGTAACTTTGATTTAACTTCATTTTTCCCCTAACTGTGTGTAACTAATGAAATTAAAAGGTAATTTGAGGGGCGCCTGGGTGGCTCAGTCGGTTAAGCATCCGACTTCGGCTCAGGTCATGATCTCGCGGTTTGTGTTGAGCCGCGCATCAGGTTCTGTGTGGACAGCTAAGAGCCTGGAGCCTGTTTCAGAATCTGTGCCTTACTCCTCTGTCCCTCCCCCGCTCATGCTCTGTTGCTCTCTGTCTCAAAAATAAATAAACTATAAAAAATTTTTTTAAGAAAGGTAATTTGATAATGACTTTTTTGAAAAATGCAGTACTCTTTAAAGATGCAATTAGTGTGGATTTAGTTTGATTTTTTTCCTCCTCCCATTCTATAAACACAATAATATTGTGCTATTTGGGGAAAGTTCTTAATGTCTCTTATGTGCAACACATCCTCGTAGACACTATGGGGTATAAGCAACACTGGCTAATTTTGGGGACTCACTGCAAAAGGCAAATGCAGGACCCTTATTAAAAATTTTTTGGACAATAGACATTAAACCAGCTTGGTGCTCTTCTAAGCCTGGGGCCCTATGAGGCTTCATAGGTCATACCCATGTAGTCAGCCTGGGTATGAGGTCCTGGGGTATGAGGAGTCAGCCATATAGAGAGATAAGAATCAACTGTACCTTGCACCTCCCTGGGGCAGTAGATCCTCTCCTTTCTGGTCGGCTTCCTCACACCACTGAGGAAGGGGGTAGAGTATCCAGAAGCCCACATCTTTTGGTGAGGTGGATACAGTCACGTATAATGAACAAACACATACCAATGTTGGAGATTTAAGTGGGAACCTGGTTTGTGATAAGAAATTGGTAAATTTATATTGAGAGTCTTAAAATACTCTTTTTTCAAAAAGTGTATTTATTTTGAGGGAGAGAGAGAGTGCACTCATGTGTACACAAATGGGGGAGGGGCAGAGAGATTGGGAGAGAGAAAATCCCAAACACTGTTAGCACAGAGTTAGACTTGGGGCTTGATCTCAGGAATTGTGAGATCATGACCAGAGCCAAAATCAAGAGTTGGCTACTTAACAGATTGAGCCACCCAGGCACCCCAGAGAGTCTTAAAAATATTCTTACCCTTGCACCAGTAATCCCTCTTCTAGGAATTATATGCACACAAAGTAAAAAGATGTTCATCACGATTGTTTTATTTTAAGTATTAACAAAACATGGGAACTAACCTAAACATCCAGAGTAAAATATTATATTATTAAATACTATCCAGACATTTAAAACTCAAGAATATTCAGTGACCTGGACGTTGCTGTATCTTACGCCGTATATTATGAATAAACAATCATTGATACTTTCCCTTCAGTCAGCCCTGATAATAGACACACTTAGACATTGTACGGACAATGACTTTGCTCAAGGCCACTGCCCCAATCAAAATCAATTCATTCTTTCCTGATATCAAATGTGTCTACCACTTGTGCTCTGGCCTTTTCTGCCTCATTTCCCACCATGTGTCCATTACTTTGGCCAAAGTAGATGCATTTATATTTGCACCCCCCTTGCATCTTTGCTTGGTTGGCCAGGACTAGTCTCCAGATCTGCCCACCTACATGCTAAAATCCTATCCATTTTTCAAACCATTACAAATTCTGTTCTCTCTGAGGAGTTTTTTTTCCCCCTTTCTAATTATCCCAGCTAGAAATTGAGTGGTTCCTCCTCTGATGTTTTTTATAGCATGTTGATTGAATTACTTATATAGCATATGTTGTATATTGCTTTCTATCACCATTATTTGTGTCCAAGTCTTTTTTTCCCCATCTGATTATTAACCCCTCAAGGAGGAGATACTGGATATCTTTGATTGACCTGTCTCCCTCATTAGAGTCACTTGATGTATTAGTTTCCTAGTGTGTATGTTCAATTAATATGTTTGACGAGGGCAACACGAATAGGAAATTTCTAGGGATGACACAGAAAAGATAGAACAAAATGAGAAAAGGATAAGAGGGACTGTAAAAAATTTTAAACTCTGGAATTAGTTTAGAGGAAGAATAAAAATAATTTTAAAATAAGAGTCCATTTCACAGGTGTTGTCATTTCTACTGTTTTTCTTCACTGGGTACCTCATTCATTCATTTATGTGGAATGTACTTATAAAAATAAGGAAGAGAACATTATAAGACTTACAGACAACTGAGACATTGAAGTAAGAAATAAGGTAGACTACCTTTGTACAATGGAGAGTTGATCCCATCACATACAGGTTAAGTGTTGGTTCAGACTACTTTTGTTTATTTGTTTTGATGTAGATGAATATATCTTATTGAAAAGGCAGTCATTTTGG